TATACTCTTATATTAGCAAACCTCCATTTTCATGAGGGAACAAACAAACAGTGTTTATAATCCAGTCAACCTCTGACCCCTATACTCTGCCCTGTTGTGCAGCTCACGGGCACCTAGGTAGGTCTGTTAAAGAGCCGGAAAAAAGGAGCACCCAGCTCCAATCAGGAAGGCTTTGCTGGATGGACTGAGATAGAAAACACCCCTCATCTGTTGGCAGAAATGTTGCTTGTTGACACAAGTATGCACTAATGTGGAGAGAAAAACGAAGAGGCACAGAGACGAGGAAGAAGGGAGGTTATCAAGTAAGATTGCAAAAGAGAGACAGAGTAGAGAGGTGATAAGGGAGGAAGATATAGGATGGTTGCTACATGAACAGGGCTAAATTCTACTCTTGGTTACACTCGTGTGTCATTAGAGTTAATGTGGATTTTACACCTATGTAACCGGGAGCCAAATCTGACTCATACTCTGGAAAAGACCTGAGAGTAAGATTTGTGTGGAGTAAAAGTGTTTATTACTATAATAAACAGAAAATAAAAAACAAAGCTTTCACTTGGCCCGGGGTAATTACTGGGAAATTGGAGGAGAGGATTTGTTTGTGTTTTTTCCTTCTTCTAAAAGTGATAAAGTTCAGCAAAGCAGGAAGGGGGAGGGAAGTATATTTTGCAACAAAGCCTTGAACAATGTTCCTCTAGAGCTGTAGGCACTGAGTTGGAAGGGGAATAAAATCCTCTGAAGAAGCAAGAAATTCTGCAAAGACAGCAGTGTCTCCCAAAGGAAAGGTCAGGCAGGAATTTAAAAGTGTCGGGGGGAGGCAGGGAAGTGAATTTGCCAGGACAAGCTATAAATATGTTATTTATCCACATTGAACAAAAAAAGTGCTTGCATAGCTCCCTGAAAGAAGTTTCTTTTCATAAAACCCAGATTTCAAAATTCTCATCCACTTTTATCTAGTCCTATGGAAACGTTTTTTATAAGGGTAAGTTTGCTCGCTAATCAAATCTGAGATAAAGCATTTCCCTATCTTTGAGAAAGTTGTAAGTTCACAGGGTAACTATACAAGGAAACAACGAAAAATAAGCAGAATGCTTCCTTTGTCTTCCCAAAGAGAAATCTTTTATTTTTTTTAAATCTGATTTTTTAAAAAATTTCAATTGATAGAGAGTTTAGTGTTAAGTGTCAGCTGATAGCACTGGAGACGAAAGTCCTCTGATAATTCAGTAAATTAGCACCAGTGCTGCTTATCCCTCGACTGCCCAGCCAACATACCTCAACCCAGTCCTGGAAAAGCCATCTCGGGGGCGACACAATATTCCCTGCCCCATTTAATCCTTGGCTTCTCTACAAAGACTGCCAATAAAAGGGCTGATTACTAATAGTATTACAGTAGTGCCCACTATGTGCTAGGCACTTTCCATGCACACAGGAAGATGCAGTCCTGGCCAGGATGAGCTTACAATCTGAGCGCACCAGCAACCTATGAAAGGGGGCAGGTGGGCAAGAGAGTTAAAACATACAGCCCGAGCATTTTTTAAAATCAATAGCAACTACCCCCAAGTGCGCCTACCTAACTATTAGTAGTTGGTCAATTTCTTATAGTCATCACACTAGAAGGGGGTCTTGGGGAGGGATATGAAGGATGACACGGGAGGGCCTTATAGACTAGTCCAGGGAGGATGTTCCATACACGAGGGGTCATGTAGACAAAAGTGCACAGACCGTTCTGGGAGGAGAATGACAATGATGGGGGTGTTTCTGCCGATGCAGACTACTAGGAAACGGACGGGAACCCACAAACCAGTCACATAAAGACACACAAGAGTCATTGCATAGCAATTCTCAATCACTGCAGATCTTGGCTGGTTTCAACCCCCTCCCCACCCACCCGTTATACCCCTGCCAAAAAAATCCATCTGATTTTAGACTCTCCAGGAAGCAGGCAAACTGTACACAGGACCAGGAACGAAAAGCTGGGCACCTGGCTGAACAATAACTCTCTGTACTGCCATTGGGATTGGATGCCTGGCTCCTTGCTCCCTGTAGCATGGCTCGAGTGTACTGCAGAAGCTACCTGCAGCGACACGTCTCTTCCAGTAGGGAGCGCTCCCTCAACGTTGTGAACAACGCGGCCGAGCTACGTGCCCTGGAAAAGCTCCGGTCCCATCTTCTCACCCTCTGGTTTGCTTTCAGCCATCAATAGAGGGCACAATCTGATCAGTTACAATTGTCCGTCTATGTTCGTGAAGACCTGCAGGAGCCAGCATTGTAAGGGATATCCCATTTCTGTCCCGCCTACCTCATGGGTGCTGAATACAGACTGGTGGACGATTGTCAATAGACAGCTGGGGCAGTTTAGGTCTCAGCACAAAGCCTGCAGTTCACATTTACCACTGCTATGTGCAGTGTGTGACCGACAGCCAACAAAGATAAGGGCTTTGATTAGTTCTTGATGAATGAACATGATCCTGTTGGAAACACTGTGTCCTAGCTGCTAGAGGAGTGGTGTGCTCAGGTCACCACTGGGACAGATATTGCAACCCATGCACTATCTCTGGGGATCATATTGTATTACGTTTAGGAATGGTTTATGTATCACTGTGGGCCAGGGATTGTATAGGCGGGGCGGGGCGGGGGGGGGGGGAACCACAGCCTCTGCCAAGAACTAAACAGAGTGGAAGGCAATTAAGGCAAATCACTCGGGTTGTAAACACCCCCAGAGAGGTACCGCTCCCTGAAGGCTTGCCTATGCAGGTTCAAACTGGATTTTCCAGAGACCAACAGACAACCTAAGGGCTTTTGGCATAAAAAGGCTGACTTTAAACTGACTCAGGGCCTTCTTTCTGACTCAGCAAACGGACAGGACCATCTGTCCAACGGGGGTGGGGGCACCAACCCTGGCGGAAGGGTTTAAAAGACTTTAGCCTACTAGGACTCCATAAGATTGATGGGTGACACCTGGTGAGCTTTTAGCATGCGTGCAGGAACATTGATTGTTTTTGTATGTCTTCTCTGTAACGCTTTTACCTTACAAATAAATGTATTTTGCTTTGTGGAGGCTGGTTGGTAAGTGATGTACACTGCTGTAAGCCCTGGAGAAAGGGTCCCCACAGGTGCTGGACCCTGATGGGGAGATCACAGTGAGATGTAAAGGAACTGCAAGCCTAAACTCCCGGTCTGGAGGGAGAGAGAGATGTCTCTGCCCAAGTGAGGTGACGACTGGGAGCCTGAAACCTTAAGTGGATGTCCTTGCACAAGGCAAGAAGGGGTTCAAAGGTGCGGTTAACCTGAAACTGAGAGAGTTATATAGCCCGTTTAAGGGAATTTCTGTTCTCTCATGAGCTAAACCTGTATCTGGGCGATAGCAGACTCCACACAAGCTCTGGGGTGGTTTTAAATATTTGAATATATATTTTTAAAAGTCTTGGTGACAGAAAGTTGGCATTTGGTGCAACAATGATCTACAGCAGGTCCCTGCCCAGACAGGAGTGCCCATTTTGCATACGAGTTGTAAATTAACCGGGATTTTCTATTCATCTTATTCTAATAAAGTCTCTTCTTATCACTTGCATTGAGCAGTGGGTCAATTATCCACATGATCACTAGGGTCCCTCTCACACTGTCTAATATGTCAGGGCTTATAGAAATATTAGGCACCTTTAGATGTACCAATCTTTTATCATGGAGACTCTCTCCTGGGCTCTCTGATTTCATTCAGAATTACAGTCTTCCCTTTTCATTAAAAGACAACTTTGTGCTTTTAGTGATCAGGTTACCCAATAACATCAGGCTAAAGAGATCAAGATAAGAAGATAGACATCCTGTTATTTAATAAATGTTATTTGGGCCCTTAGATTTTGATCAAATTAAACAGGGAACCAAATTAACCAAATGGCTGAATTAAGTGGAAGATACCTTGCATGGTGGAATACTTTGTGTACCATTAACATAAATTCCAGCAATCCCATTATAGATGTAAAATATGGCAGCTTATCCATAGACAAACCCATACACACCCCATCACATGCTCACCCGCCTTTATAAAGGGACTGCTGGAAACGTCACTCAAGCACACAGGAAGAGAACAGACTCTTGCAATGCATTTATGATAGCTTCTGAACACAACTTTGTACAATTTTTTCTGGGGACAGATTCTCTAGAGTAATTAATATTTCTGGACCCATCTGAAGGTCACTTTGGTCTATTATGATTTTTAAAAACACAAATAGATATATTCTGGAGGTGAGAGGATATAAGCACATTCTGAAAGCTGTGTAGCCAATTGCTACAATACCCTGAGAGGCAGAGGGGAAGGGGAATTAGACTGGATTATGATATTGCTATTACTATTAATTTATTTTTATTACTGTACTGCCTAGATACATCCTGAAATTTGCAAGACAGCCTTGCAGCCTATAAGCCTGACCCTCAGGACAATGAAAACAATCCTGAATTTATTTTTAGCATCACAAAAAGGCTAAATTGAGTCATCAGGATGTGTTGTGTTGAGACACTATGGTGACTGTGATTTCATGATGTAATGACAGGACAAAAATTTCCTTCCACAACTGGCAGAGACTCAATCCCTGATCTTTCCCCAGGTGAGAGCATAAGCAGCTCCACTATCAGTTATTTGGCAAGAAAACTAATTCAGTCATATTGAGAATGATGGAAAGGAGGAAATAACCTATCCTTATCATTTATAAACCCGGATGTGAAGGTATCACTGCTTAGTATGTGCACTAGCTTGGAGTTGGTGTGTTTGTTTTTAAAGATAGTGGAAGGAATTCAGTTAAAGTTGCAACATAGTATGGAACTTGTCTCAAAAAAGAGTTTTATGTGCTTTACTGTTTACATCTAGTGACATTAAAAAAAAAAAACCCCACCAAGGTCGCACAAGAAATGGCAGGGCTAGGAGAACCCAGGAGTCCGAACTCCCAGTCCCCCACTCTAGCCACCAGCCTTGCACTCTCTCCCTCAGCAAAAATAGGAGACATACTCACCCTTCCCAAGCTGCACAAAACCAAGGATGATGATCAAAGCAAGAGCCAGCAGTTTCGCCGCTGCAAACGCATCCTGGACGCGGGTGGCGGCTTTCACGCTGTAACAATTCACCGCTGTGAGAAACACTAAAGACAGAGATAAGGAGAGACAAATCAGTTTCCACTGCAACGAGTCTTTAGAACACAAAACATAGCCTGGGACTTCTCACCGGCCTTTGCTTTCTGTTAAAATTTAGTAAACACAAATTGCTTAAAGAAAGAAAGAAAGAAAGAAAGAAAGAAAAAGAACAGAGCTCACAATTGCATCCATCTGAGGACTCTTTTGCTTTCTAAAGACTTCGTAGAAAATCTCTATATTATTATTAGAGTATATTATATTCAGTAGTAACCCTATGTTATTTAATGTAGTATAATCCCTCCATATTATCCACAAAGTCAGAGATCTCTAGCCCCTGAGAATACTTATCGGACACTGGGTCTACATACTCCCTGGGGTATATTATTCCGTATAGTCAAAGGTTTGCCATATTTTAGCTAACACGGGTTAGGGACTAAAAATAAATATTTAAGATATAATTGTATTGGGACGAATCCCTCCCCCTCCCTATTTCTTGTCTTCAAGAAGGCGGTCTCTACAGATTACAACTCTCTGGAGCAGGGACATGCCCCTTACATGGGTATAGTGACACATCATAAAAATTGTACTAACAGCAAAGTACATGGCTTCAATACCTCCTAAACCAACCCCATTACTTCTATGGTCAAGCCAGCTTACATATAATCACCATGGAAATACAGACTCCAGGAGCTATTTCTAGCGTTGCTATATTACCTGCATTACAACAGCATCCAATTGAAATTGAGGACACACTGTGCTAGACACTGTGTGAAGCCACCAGAAGAGAAAGTCCTTGTCCTGAGGTGTTTAAAGTCTCAGTAAACAGGACAAATACAGAGTGGGAGGGAAGGGAAAAGCAACTTGTGCAAAGTGACAATGCAGGTCAGAGGCAGAGCTGGGACTAGAAATCAGGTCTCCTGACTTCCAGACCAGCGCGCTGTCCACTAGATCACACTGCCTCCCTATAAAAGCACAAGGCATTTTGCCACCTTTAATGTGAAAGCTGCTCACTAACAAAACCTTTTATTTCCTTTTAAGATAGTAAGTGATCAGAAGAGTACACAGTTTTCACCCTGTGGTCACTCTCCTTGTCCAGCTCCCCTCCCCTGCTGGGGAGATGGGCAAGTAGCGCCAGGTGAAACCAGGGTTAATGGTATGCCGTATAGTGGGCAGCAGCCCACAGCCTGTTCTATAGAACTCTCCTCTGTTCGAACCCAAATCTAAGCACATCACCTCTCTCCAATGCACAGACACCCTATGCTTGCCCCAGAGCTTGGATCCAGTACAGCACCCAGCTCCCTGCTGCTGGCTGCAGGCCTGGATCCAGGCAGTCACTGAGTTGTCTCTGGGGTGTCTGATCTTGTTGATGTTTTTCTTGAGCCATGATTTTGCACACGGGTTAGTTCTGATCTTCTCGCATGTGGGCTGCGATGTATATTTTTAGTCTTCAGAAGCCAGATGAGTTTTCTAAAAGACAACAGAGGAGAAAGGCAGCCAAGTGGGGTGGTATATGTTCCAGGATGGGTCAGACTAGACCCCAGGCTACTGTACATTCCAATGCATGGCTGTCACCGGTTTACTTTTTGCAACAGGCATCTGCCTACAAATCACAAAACAACCCCCATCCCCTATCAAACTACTGTCAGCACAACCCGGACTCAACAGGATCCTCGGCCAAACGCAGCAACACTTCCCCAAGATATGTAGTATACAGGTCATTTATTCACGTAACAGGTACACCTTTCGTGCTGTGGGCAGGACTGGTGTGATTTTGAAGGCAGGGGGCAGAAGAGAGTGAGAATGGGCTCCAGATTCACAGACACCAGCTTCCCCGGCAGTCTGATCAGAAAGAAAAAGAGAGACAACAAACAGGAGTGACTGTCGGCACCATGTGACAGTCCTGGCCCAGATTGAACTCACTGGTTTCCCCTGTGGAAAGGAGGGGAGGGGCAGCGTGGTATCAAGCATGCCCGGCTGACTGGGCTGGAAGGAGTTAACGTGTCTGTGCACAGATAGGGTGGACAGCGCAGAGCCCTTCAGTCACACCACCAAGGAGAATTATTATATTTTGCTATCGGCAGGCAGGGATGAGACGGTCACATTTGTATCTCTTTCCACTTTGTTCCGATGGAATCAAGGCAACACAGCCGACCACACACAAAGCCTTCCCCAAGCGTTTGGGAGGGCTAAGGGCGTCCCACCCCTCCAACTCGACATCTTCCCGATCAGCTCTTCTCCTTCCACCCACCCACCGATGGGGTGCAGCAACGGGTTCCGTTTCAGAGGCGGGGAGAGTTGATTTGCAGATGGGAAACCCCCAGCCAGGTGGTACTTTCCGCAGAGCTTTTAAAGAAAGATGTGATTATTCTCTTAAGTAAGTATTCCGCCCACTTCCCCCCAAGCTAGTCAGTGACCCCTCTCAGCTCCCTGCACTCAGCCCAGCCAGAGAAGTCCACAGGAGCTGGAGTCCAAGAGCACTGAGTGGCAAGGTCCTATCCAGCACTACCAGCAGCTGAACTGCTTTGCCACTGTATCACAGTAGTGCCTAGGCACCCCAAGAAGGGAGCTGGGCCCCAATGTGCGAATATCAACATTGCAGATATTAAGAAAAGATGATCCCTTCTCCAAACAGCTGCTTTGTGCAGTGCTGCGAAGAGCCTTACCGAGCCTTCTATCCATAATAGGTCAGAGTTTACATTCCAGGTAGAGCAGACATAGCCTGGGTGTGATGCTGGCATGCATTGGAGGGGGTTTTCCATTTTCAAATATCGGTGGAGGATTCGTTTCCTTTTCTTTTTTGGTGGGGGGGGGGGGGGGGGGAAATAGGGGCTGAGATCCTGAATAGTATAGTCACCCATGGACTTCCAGCCTGAACACTGAAGTGACTAAAAAGCTGGTTTTTCTCCTCTGGCCATTTGAAACAGCCACCCCAGGGAGAGCTGAGCAGAAAGTTTAGGAAACGTGTGGAAACCGCTGAGATTGCACAAATTGCTGGACACATTTGTGCAGGCAGTGACAGACTGTGAAATGGGGCATGCCATCCAGAATCTGAATGCTGAAAACCTGAACCTCAGGATTGATGTACCCCAAACTGGCAGAATCACACCAGTGAAACCTCCAAACTGTAGTTAATATTCCATATGCCAGCCAGTAGTAATTTCCCTCCACCTATGGACTTACAGCCAAAGGCCTCCAACAGTTAAGTAAGCCTCACAGCCGCCCTATAAGGCAATAAAAGAGAGGAAAAGCTGATAATCTAAGTGGGGTGGAGGAGGAAGGGGAAAACACACACACACTTAATATTTTTGCTTTTAAATGTTCTAATTTGTTAGTTCCTGACTTGCATTTGATGGGGTCTAAACATCTGATAAAGCTGTTGCCTTACTCTTCCTGCGAACATCATGTTCAGAAGATATACCCCGTGGAAGGCAAGTTCAGGGAGTTACATGACTACCATGCTTCCAGAGCTGAGAATATCGCCAGTGATGATGGGTGAACGTAGGTGTGCTTGCCTAGGCCCGTCCAGTACCGGACTAAGGTTTCCTGTACATCTGAGGGTGCAGGGACACACTATGCATGTGTGGATTTGATATAAATGGTTAGTGTTGCTCTTAGTGTTTGAATGAATCATCACAGTGAGTGGATTTCCTGGTGACGCAGCACACCCAAGCAAGACGGAACCACGATTGCATCATTCATTCAAACAGCATGAAAAGCTCACTGTAGCACACAGCATGGCAAGGACACCGGTTGTTCTAATGCCCAAACTCTGCCCGCCCAAGGACTGCAACAGAAGCTTGAAGGCTGAATCAAATTTGTATAAAACAGAGCAGATCACACCCACCACTGTGCAACTTTCTACCCAGGGCCACGGTGGATTCGCCACCACTGGCCATTTTAAATCAAGACTGGATGTGTTTCTAAAAGCTCTGCTCTAGGAATTATTCCGGGGCAGCTCTCTGGCCTGTGTTATGCAGGAGGTCAGACTAGATTATCACAATGGTCCCTCCTGGCCTGAGAACCTTACAAAAGACAACAGGTCCTAAAATGAAATGCTCGTTGTGGCAACTCTCTTGACAATTAGAGGGGTTTCCTTTAAAGCTCCGGTTTCTGGAGTCATGTGAAATTGTGAGAATTTCAGCTTTCATTTAAACAAAGAATTCTGGCCCTCACGGTTGTAGAGAAAAGCATGAAAGTGTGACCCAATGTAGCCTAGAGGCTCAAAACTAAAAGAACCCAAAATGTTTGTATATGTATAGATCATAATTTTTAAGCCAATCTGGCGGTTTTGGGGGGATGCAACTCATGAGTTTGAATGTTGGGGGTTTATGACACAAACACTCCATCCTGACCCAGAGCTGCTCTGTGCAGGACCTAAAGTCTCCCCAAGGGATTCCTTTCACTGTGGATGTAGTTCTGCATTGCATGCTACACGGGCTGTGCTTTGGCTGACCTGCTTTAATATATAGGAGAGAACATAGGATTGGGAACTGACGGTGCTGTAGCAAACTGAAAAAAACCCTTCTCTCCACCCCACCCCCAGCAATTAAAATCCATAGAACATGGCTCCTTTGCTACATATTGTTCAAGGGAGATAGGACATATCTCCGTGCCTCATTCCAACACGACCAAGTGGTCTGACTTTGAGGTTATTCAGTAGGAAAAGAAGCAGGCAGCCCTATCAACGCTCAGCAGGAGCATGGCTCAGAGATAGAGCTCCTATCATTGTGTAACAAGTGAACACACAGCATCTACATCAAAGTATTTTCTTAGAAGGGGCACTGTTAAGTTAGCTGTTCTATAAAACAGCTCCCTGCCTGGGTAGGTAAGGCAACCTTAGGGTATGTCTACACTAGGGGAAAAGGTGTATTTAAACATGATCATTAACACACAATAGCTTCCACCTTTTAAAACCCAGGGTTGTGAGTTCAATCCTTGAGGGGGCCACTTAGGGATCTGGGGCAAAAATTGGTCCTGCTAGTGAAGGCAGGGGGCTGGACTCGATGAC